GCAGGTAGGAGAGAGGCTGTTCTCTCCAAATAGAGAGTCAAGGAGACTAGGCACTGGGAGTGCAGAAAGGAAGCAGTCAAGGCTGGCTTGGAGCACTGGGAGTGCAGGAGGAAGCAGTCAAGGCTGGCTTGGAGTACTGGGAGTGCAGAAAGGAAAGCAGTCAGGGCAAGGCTGGCTTGGAGCACTGGGAGTGCAGAAAGGAAAGCAGTCAGGGCAAGGCTGGCTTGGAGCACTGGGAGTGGAGAAAGAAAAGCAACAGGCTAGCTAGCAGAGTGTTGCTATCTAATAAGGTTGATGCAATATTATTTTGTTTAGTTTAACCCTGAGGGATAGGGAACCTAATGTCAGTTAGTGCTCAGACAAGCTAGGTTTTTGTTTATAGGGTTTTGTGTTACATTTATGTTTTTATTTACTACTGTATCCTGTGTGAACCTACAAATAAAGTGCCTGGAATGAAGTTGCATTAAAAGACTGTGCGTGTTTTTGCCCTAGAGGACCGTGCTACCTGCTGACGAGGATCACAATTCCTACAGGTACGCCACTAGTCACTACATGAGCCAAACATTCCTACAGGTATGCCACTAGTCACTACATGAGCCAAACATTCCTACAGGTACGCCACTAGTCACTACATGAGCCAAACATACCTACAGGTACGCCACTAGTCACTACATGAGCCAAACATACCTACAGGTACGCCACTAGTCACTACATGAGCTAAACATTCCTACAGGTACGCCACTAGTCACTACATGAGCCAAAAAATTCCTACAGGTATGCCACTAGTCACAAACAATATCTTTATCCAAATGCTATTACAGAGGCCATAGTCACAGGGTAGGAGGCTGGCAAACAGGCCCCTCCAAAAGCCAGTGGCGAGGTTACTTTCGCCATAGGAATCATCTGGAACAGAAATGGGAAATCTACAGCATAACTCCACATATCTGGATTTTATATATATATATATATATATATATATATATATTTTTTTTTTTTTGTTTGTTTTTTTTTCAGTTAAATAAGACAGACCAACTGATTGACAGACCGACAAGCAGAACTATGGGCAATACAGACTGACAGACAGGCGGAACAACTCCAATTCAGACTGAAGGACAGCTAGACATGTAGAACACCTGACAATACAGAAATACAGACTGACATACAGACAGGTGGAACAACTGGCAATACAGGCAGACAGACAGGTGGAACAGCTGACAATACAGACTGCGTGCCTGCCGCAGAGGTTGCTGGTTGGGGGTCTCTACTCTGTGGGTGGCCAGTGACATATACCTGGGCAGGTTGGAGAATGTCTCCCTCTTTGTAGACAGCATCCGCTGTGCCTGTCTGCGTTCCTCCTCAGTTAGGCGGTCCCGCAAGTGGACCTAATCTATGAACCCTGCCTGAACTCCATATTCCAGGAGCTCCGGCAGGGGACGATTATCAAATGCCAACATCCTCTGTCCGCTCGTGGTAGGGCTTCAGCATATACATGTAGCAGGCGTCGAACTCCGGGACCCGAGCAAGGACCGTTCATATAGGTAGTGTCATAATTTTGCTCCACTACCTGGTAAGGGCCCTGCCAGGCATCCTGAAACCGGTCGTATCAGAGGGGTTTCAAAACTAAAACCTTCTGACCAAATTGAAAGATAAGGCTCCTGGCTCACCGATCATACCAGGTGCACTGGTGCCTCTGGGCCGCCTGGAGGTTCCTTCAGCACATATGGCATGATGGGGCTCCCCCTCTCCCTCCTAGTGCTCCCTGACAAGGTCTAGGGGTCCTCTCACCCTCTATCCAAACATTAATTTGAACTAAGAGAATCTGGTGGATTCCTGGGGCACCGCCCGATATGCGAACAGGAGATGCGGCATGAATCCCAATCCTTGCAAGTCGTTGCAAAGGTACGGAGCATCTGCTTCAACATGCCATTAAAGCGCTCACATAGGCCATAACTCTGGGGGAAACAGGGGGAGCTGAGGATCCATTTCATGCCGCCTAACTTCCACAGTTGATTAGTCATCTCGGCAGTAAACTAGGAGCCCCGATCCGAGAGGATCACCCGGGGAAAACCCATGCGGGAGAACACTCACATCAGGGCTTTAGCCACAGTCTCTGCTTGAATGTTGCTCAGGGCCACTGCCTCGGGGTACCGAGTCACCTAGTCCACAACGATCAGAATATACTTCTTCCCAGAAGGGCTAGGCTTAGCCAGGGGACCTTTGATATTGACAGCTACTCAGCCGAAGGGGTCTGATAGGTAGTTGATGGAGTGGGGTTTTGTGCCGATCACACCGCTTCCCCACTCTCTGGCAGACATCACAATACTTTAAGATGCCTGGCCAGAGAGTCACATAGGTGGAGATAAGGTGGCCCAGGTCTGTTGGTAGCTGGTTCATGAGCCCAACTTCCACTTTTTGGGCTCCCGCACCCCAGTTGAAGGTGAACGTGGGCAGTGAGTAGATGTGAATGGCAGTTTATGTTTTCGTGCAGGGTTTGCTGCATTCCCAGGGGACCCCTTTCCCTTTCTTCATTCATCAGGCTGTGTGGAGTTTGCCCCATTCTTCTGTGCCAAGACACAGGCTTAGACCTCAGAGAAGAGCCTGTTCATGGTTTTCTTGGAGGGGGTATCCTCGTAGTACATCAGGCGCCGGGTCACTTCCTTGTGAATGACATCCATTTCGCCCTCTGGTTGGGGTACAGCTGCCCCACTGCTTTGCTCCGTGAGGGCTGCAATCAGCTCCGCCTTGGTATGAGTGCCGGCTGATTGAAGCCCGCCCGCAAGAAAAGAGCTCTTTGTCCATGAGGCTCATGCGAGCCCATCAAACTCGCCAGTGCCCCAAAAGTGCCATCAACTAGTCTCTGTTTGTGAGGTCCCAGTGTGAAACCCAGACAAGGAAAGCGTCTCCTTTCGGGGGATGAATGCTCCCCCTGACCGGTGTTAATCTATAGGGAAACTATATGCAAAAGAGAAGGGAGTTTCACAAACAGACAGCTGTTCCGCCACAACAGACATACAGACTGACAGACAGACAGGTGGAACAACTGACATTACAGACAGACTGACAGACAGACAGATATTACAACCTGCAAGACAGACAGATGGACAAACAAACCGTCCAGCAGACTGACAGACAGACTGAGCGAGTGACAGACTGACTGAGCGAGTGACAGACTGACTGACAGACAGACTGAGCGAGTGACAGACTGACTGCATATTTCTGGTTTTCATCCTGTCTTCAGTAGCTGTGACAAGAGGAAAATGAGGGTTGCACTCAATCACAGAGTTTAACACAGGGTGCACTGAGCATGGGTCAGCAAACCCCATACAATCTGTAAAAATGAAAAAAATCTCAGGCACTCACTGTGATCACTTCCAGGCAGTTTATTGCAACGTTTCGACCTGAAACCAGGTCTTTAAATGTTGCAATAAACTGTCTGGAAGAAATCACAGTGAGTGCCTGAGATTTTTTTTCAATTATTCAGTAGCTGTGACATCAGACAGATAAATTCTGCTGATTATTGACCAAACCTACTTTCCTTCTTCCAGTAACTCGCTCACTGCTTGTAGAGTAATTCAGTTAGATAACAAAGTATGATGCAATCGGCGTCCTATAAATATGGCGATCTGGAGTCCGTTATGACACAATAAACATTTCATCCTTCTTACTCTGTAATGCATCATCTGCGCAGTGTGTGTGTTTGTGTGTCCTTCTTACTCTAACGTATCATCCGCACAGTGTGTGTATATATATTAATAATCAGAGTGTTCACAGAATGTAGAACTAACAGCTCAAACGGAGCGAGATAAGTTCCCCTCTAACTGACCTTTAAATGCCCCAAATTCTACTAATTTGATTTACTATTTTCTAATCAGCTGTGATTTGATTTAACAAGTCAATAAGCAGGTGATATTTCAGAGTCACCCGATGCAGATGAAGCATTTTGCGATGAACTCCTGGGTCAGTTTCCTGATTATGGATGTTATTGCTGGTAATAGATCCCAGTTCTCAATCAATGACAAAACCGACATGTGTTGGAAACCTGTTCAGAAACACAAAACGTTTGTTTTATCCCATTTACAGAATGGAAATACAAAATACACCTGGAGTTATCACCCAGAACCTAAATATCCCTTTATTTATCATCTAGAACCTCTATCACTGTCTTTATCATACAGAACCTCTATTACTGTATTTATCATCCAGACCTCTATCACTGTATTTATCATCCAGAACCTCTATCACTGTATTTATCATCCAGACCTCTATCACTGTATTTATCATCCAGAACCTCTATCACTGTATTTATCTTCTAGAACCTCTAGCACTGTATTTATTAGTGATGTCCCGAACGGTTTGTCGAACAGTTTGCGAACGGTTTGCCACGAACGGTTCGCCACGGACTCATCATTGAGTAAACTTTGACCCTTTTCCCTTACAGTCAGCAGACACATTCCAGCCAATCAGCAGCAGACCCTCCCTCCCAGACCCTCCCACCTCCTGGACAGCATCCATTTTACATTCATTGTGAAGCTGCATTCTTAGTGAGCTGTCCAGGAGGTGGGAGGGTCTGGGAAGGAGGGTCTGCTGCTGATTGGCTGGAATGTGTGTGCTGACTGTGAGGTACAGGGTCAAAGTTTACTCAATGGTGAGTCCGTGGTGAACCGTTCGCGAACCGTTCGGCGAACCGTTCGGGACATCACTAACCTATATCACAACATTAATCATCCAGAAGCTATCTAATCGTATTTATAATACAGACCCTATACAGGTGATACTCAAAAAATTAGAATATCGTGCAAAAGTTCATTTATTTCAGTAATGCAACCTAAATATGAGATAGACGCATTACATGCAAACCAAGATAGTTCAAGCCATGATTTGTCATAAGTGCGATGAATATGGCTTACAGCTCATGAAAACCCCAAATCCACAATCTCAGTAAATTAGAATATTGTGAAAAGGTTCAATATTCTAGGCTCACAGTGTCCCACTCTAATCAGCTAAGTAAGCCATAACACCTGCAAAGGGTTTCTGAGCCTTTAAATGGTCTCTGTCTGGTTCAGTAGGAATCACAATCATGGGGAAGACTGCTGACCTGACAGTTGTGCAGAAAACCATCACTGACACCCTCCACAAGGAGGGAAAGCCTCAAAAGGTAATTGTGGCGGAAGTTGGATGTTCCCAAAGTGCTGTATCAAAGCACATTAATAGAAAGTTATGTGGAAGGGAAAAGTGTGGAAGAAAAAGGTGCACAAGCAGCAGGGATGACAGCAGCCTGGAGAGGATTGTCAGGAAAAGGCCATTCAAAAGTGTTGGGGACTTTCACAAGGAGTGGACTGAGGCAGGAGTCAATGCATCAAGAGCCACCACGCACAGACGGATCCTGGAAATGGGCTTCAGATGTCGTATTCCTCTTGTCAAGCCACTCCTGAACAACAAACAATGTCAGAAGCGTCTTACCTGGGCTAAAGAAAAACAGACCTGGTCTGCTGCTCAGTGGTCCAAAGTCCTCTTTTCTGATAAGAGCAACCTTTTTGCATCTCATTTGGAAACCAAGGACCCAGAGTCTGGAGGAAAAATGGAGAGGCACACACTGCAAGATGCTTGAAGTCCAGTGTGAAGTTTCCACAGTCTGTGTTGATTTGGGGAGCCATGTCATCTGCTGGTGTTTGTCCACTGTGCTTTATTAAGTCCAGGGTCAATGCAGCCATCTACCAGGAGATTTTGGAGCACTTCATGCTTCCTTCCGCAGACAAGCTTTATGGGGATGCTGACCTAATTTTCCAGCAGGACTTGGCACCTGCCCACACTGCCAAAAGCACCAAAGGCTGGTTCAATGACCTTGGGATTACTGTGCTTTATTCGCCAGCAAACTCGCCTGACCTGAACCCCATAGCAAATCTATGGGGCATTGCCAAGAGAAAGATGAGAGACATGAGCCCGTACAATGAACAAGAGCTGAAGGCCGCTATTGAAGCATCCTGGTCTTCCATAACACCTCAGCAGTGCCACAGGCTGATAGCTTCCATGCCATGCTGCATTGAGGCAGTAATTGCTGCAAAAGGGGCCCAAACCAAGTACTGAGTCCATATGCATGATTATACTTTTCAGAGGTCCGATATTGTTCAATGTACACTCTTTGTTTTATTGATTGCATGTAATGTTCTAATTTACTGAGATTGTGGATTTGGGGGTTTCATGAGCTGTAAGGCATAATCATCACACTTATGACAAATCACAGCTTGAACTATCTTGCTTTGCATGTAATGCGTCTATCTCATATATTAGTTTCCCCTTTTACGTTGCATTACTAAAATAAATGAACTTTTGCACGATATTCTAATTTTTCGAGTATCACCTGTATATTCCAGAACCTCTATTCCTGTAATGATAATCCAGAACCCATGTCACTGTAGAGTGGTCTCTAATATCTGTAACATTCCATTTCCTCGCTCAGTTAAGCACCCTTTTATCATTTGTTTTTGAGAGCCCCCTAATCCAACATCAATAGCCTAACCCTCCTCCATTTAGGATAAATTCTAATTCTCTATCCTAATGTCATCCGAACTCCAACTCTTGTCCATCCCTATTCTATCTTGTCCAACTCTGGCTATCTCCTCATACAGCACTACTCTCACCACTGCCCTGGACGAAGCCAATCCTCTCAAAACATACACCTCAAAGCAGTCACATCTGCAACTGTGGCACACTAAGTCATCCCGCTACCTTCGAAGATGCTCAGTTGAAAGTTGCTAGAGGAAGTCTTGCACCTTGTCAGACTTTCTCCATTACAAGTTCATGCAATGCTCGTACTACACAGCACTCTTCCTTGGTAAACAATCATACTTTTCTCTCTCATTAGTACATACTCTCACAATCCAAGGTGGCCACCTAAAGCCCATGCTTAGACAGAGGCGTGGTGGGTCTGGAGCGCTGGCTCTGACATCTCCCTGCATGGTCCTGTGCGCCATCATTTGTTGAGGGAGCATAGTGGTCTGTACTGATATCAGGTACACACAATACTTAGCCACACTCAACACTCAGCCACTACACATACTCTCACACACACACATACTCACAGAAACCGAGCCAAGGGCTCTAGGAGGTCACCCCAATCTGGCACTCTGCTTAAAAGGCTGGACCTTAATCTGGCTCTGGTCCACCCCATGAAGCCATCTGACACCTTACAGCTGATAACATGGCTTGTGGTTTTCCTGATGAGATTATACAGTAAAATAAAGAATTATCTCCCTTCAGCCCTCACTCTCTCAACCAGACTAGGGCTGTGCCTCTCCTATCCTTTAGGTCTTCTCTCTGGTTACTAAATAGGAAGTGTCTGTGCTTCTCCTTTCCTCTCGCCCAACCACTTGGCCCCTTGATCCCATTCCCTGTCACATGATCAGACCTCTCTCTCCTTGCCTTGTTCCATCCTTAACGCATAACGGCCCTGCTTGTCTTAAACAGTCTACTGTCTAAACTCTTCACGCACACAGAACATACAGTGGTTATGGTACTTTGAGTGTTCCTTTAAGCCTAGAATTATGTCAGGATTAATTCCCGCACTGGTTGGGCCAGTAACCCAGGATGCAGACTAGTCAGCCATTTTATTTTAAAATATTCAGTTATTTTCTGTTTTTCCGACTCCTCAGCACAGCGTAAACAAAAATTCTATTATATTAATAGA